CTGTATGAGATGCCTGTTTAATTCTCATAATAGCTATGAGGAACTGAGTAACTTAACACAGCTGAGGTTTGAACCCAGGTCCTTGCCCTTTCCGCTGCACCAAGTGACTGTTGCTCAGTAGACTCCTACATCATGGCCATTGTGACTTGAAAGAGTTATAGTTGTTTGTGCAGAAGTGATACTGAATGGAGGGGGCAGGGGCACCCCGAATCCTCTTCTTGGAGGCCTACCGAGGCCCTTTGTACGGTGTGACGTGAGGACCTAGCGCTTGGGACAGTTTGCCATTAAAAATTAGCTTCTATTCCTGTTTCTTTTGTCTGGTGATCTGACCCAACAAATCGCTTTCTGTTCCCTGAGCGAATGGGGAAAACACAGGGCTAAACATAGCCTTGATTGTTTTTACTTTTCTCATATTGTACTTCTCAAAGCGATAAAGATAGAAACAATTACAATATTATCTGCCTGCAGACTGAACAAGTGGCCACCTGGCTGGTGTTGATACACAATAACAGTGCTTTGCATTTTCTGAGTGTCTTAGACATGACTCTGCCAACCCATCTCCTGGCTGAGTCACACATGGCCACATGGCCCAGGTGGGGCAGACAGTTCAGGGCACAGCCCAGGTTGGACTTAACTGGCCAAGGAAGACTCACCTTTGCCAAGGACAAAAGACAGGTGTGTCCAAGGGGACACCACATCCTCTTGTAGCTTTTATCTGCAGTTTGCAGTCCACTCCCTCATTCATGCACCACTAAGGTCTGCTGTGTGCCTTGCTCTGTGCTAGGCACTGGGGAGCCACACTGGGAGAGTCTGTGGCTTTAGGAGGAGAAGTAGATGTGTAAGCAGATCCATAAAGTTCACGTACCTCTGTGCTGTACAATCACAGAACTAGGAGAAGGCGTATCTTCAGAGGATCTTTGAGTTGGCTTTTTAAATGAGGAGACTCTTCGTGAAATGAGGATAAAGGCAGGAAAAGAACATTCCAGGCCTTTGCAAGGGTGTGAATGAGTGAAAGAGCTGATGTTGGGGGAAGCTACAACTTCTTTTCACAGTTAAAAACTGACTCTTCGAATCTTCCCTACAACAAATCTTATAGGCCATAGAAGCTTACTCTGTAACATAGAAGGAGTAGGTCCTGTAGGAATTCATCACCCAGCTCTGATGTCCCTGGGTTTTGGTGGTTACCTCAAGGCCCAGCAAGTTGGACTTCCAGCCTTTCTGCATATAGGTCTTACCTGTGCTTGCTCCTGCAGTCTAGTTACTTAAACTTTAGTTTTATAAAGAATCGCTGGTGCATAAGAATTACCCTTTTGGGTTGTCTACACAAAGCTGGGTGGAGGAGGTGTACTTTGTGGGCTGGTTCAGGAATTCTTCAAGGATGGTTTTGACTCTATGTGATTATTTTCTGACCTCCACTGTCATAGGAGGTTTGCTACCTGGAGTGTAGGGTTTGTTGGGGGAAATGATGAGGAGATGGGCCCGGGTGCCAGTCTGAAATGCTTGTCTTCTTTCCCAGAAGCAGCGGATGACAACTGAAGCGAATAGGCCACAATAGGTGGGGGCTTCAGGAAGTTAATCTAGAGGCAGTGAAGAGGTAGGCCTGGAGTAGGGAGGCCCTGAGGGATCCCTTCAAGAAGCACCAAGATCGCAGGCTGGCCATGGGAAAGGAAGGGCAGATGGGAGGGATGGTTTAACTGCCTCCCGATTTCCTTTTCTTCTATGATTTCCCCAGAGATGGGAAAAATTCCAGGCCAGTGGCGCAAAAATGGAATAGAAAATGGCATCCTCTGAGAGTGGGATCAACTCCTTTTCATCTCACGGGTTTCCCCGAGGCCTGGCGGAGACACAGTCTGTAGTATGTCTCAGGCTCCGTGAGCACCGGCCACCCTTGCTGCTCTGTGCCAAACCCGTTGGTTTTTTCCTCAGTCGGTCACATTCCTGGCCCATCTGGTGCCTCAGTGCCTTGTCTCAAAAGAGAAGTTAGTGGCCAGCGTTTGGTACAGCAACTTCCTGAAAACCCAGAGGAGCCAACTCAGCAGAGGGCGGGCTGTGGGCCCCCACCCTGACCCTGGCTCACTTCCTGAGTTCAGCAAGGGCACAGCACCAGTGGGCTTGGTGGTCACATCCCCCACATATTCGGTAAGACATTTTTTCTCAGAACATTTGGAGACTATAGAAAAACAAAAGAGAAAAAATAAATTAACCAACCAGCTGTCTGCCAATCCACTTTAACATTTTGGTTTATTTCCTTCTTACCTTCACATACAACAGACATATTTTGCTAAGTAGAAATCACACCCTCTATACAGTTTTACATCCTATTTCTTTATGCTCAACTTTATATTATTAGCATTTCCCCACATCATTTAATGTTCTTTGAAACTCTGCTTCTTCATGCTCCATGTTATTCCTTGATAATTTATTTAACCAGCCCCTGCTGTAAGATGTTTTAATTATGTTTACCATTTTGCTATCGCTCATCATTTTGATGAACATCATCATACATAAATCTTCACTTTTTTCTTAGGATAACTTTCTGTTTTCTTTTAAAGTAGATAACTGGGACATTTGTGACTCTGTCAACAAGAGTTTATATTTCCTTTAATTTTACTTTATAGCCGGTCACGGTGGCTCATGCCTGTAATCCCAGCACTTTGGGAGGCCAAGGTGGGTGGATCACTTGAGGCCAGGAGTTTGAGACCAGCCTGGCCAACATGGTGAAACTCCATGTCTACAAAAAATACAAAAATTAGCTGGGCTTGTGGTACACGTCCATAATCCCAGCTACTTAGGAGACTGAGGCACCAGAATAGCTTGAATCTGGGAGGTGGAGGTTGCAGTGAGCTGGGATTATGCCACTGTACTCCAGCCTGGGCCACAGAGCCAGGTCCTGTCTGAAAAAAATTTTTTTTTTACTTTATATTAGTTTATTGGACTTTCAGCTGCTGACCAGTGTCAAGTTGAAGCTGATTTAATAGAATGGTGAATACCCAAAGGGAATGGTTTCCTTGGTGGTGAAGCCTGTCTGAACAACCTAATATAACTTGCAGGAAGGGGTACGTTGGATGGTTTTTGGAAGTAATTGATCCAGTCTAGTTGGAGGAGCAGATATTGAGACCTGCTGTGGTCAGGCCCTGGGAAATTTCAGAGATGAGATGAACGATGTATGATGAAGGAATTGGATGTTTAGCGACAGTCTTGCTTTGTTGCAGCTGGCTTGCCTGGGCTTTTGGAAGGTTTTTCTCCTGCATCTCCAGCTTCTGAGGCCCTCCATGAATACAGCCTCTGGATAATTTCTAGCAGTGTCCCCTGCCAGGGTCCCAGCCCCTCAATCTGTATCTCATGACCTTGGCAGGATGCCCTAGAGGAAGGAGTACCACTGTTAGCTGTGCCTTAGCTTTTCCTCTGGGCTCCTGGCCCTCCCTTTGGGCTGCACAGGTCATTCCCGTTGAGTCAGTCAAGAAGCTGCTGCTTGTGACGCTCAGCTGGCTGTGTCTCTTGGTGCCCTTTGAGGAGTGGCCACTGGTAGAGGAGATAGGTTTGTAGTCCTTGCTGCCTCGAGCACTCATGGGTTAAGTCTCAGTTTTCTGCACCTGAGCCCATCTTGCCTGACCCATAAACTCCTTAAGGCCAGGGCCAGAGTCAGGCTCCCCTGCAGTCTGCCTCAGCGCTGCAGTGTAGTGAAAAGGGCCTGTGCTCTGGGGCCTGACTAAGCTGGGTTTACATCCTGTCTGGTGCTAGCTCTGTGGCCTTGGGCTAGTTGCTGAATGTCCCCCAAACCTTGATCTCCTGATCTGGTCCATGATGGTGCCTGCACTCAGGGTGCTGTGTGGATTACACAGCCCGGGTGAATGCTCAGTAAGTGATCTGCATTGCTGTGAGACCCTGCGTGCATTTAAATACCTACCAAATATCATTTCAGGTTTCACTTGTATTCTTCTCTTGACTGACTCAAGCCATTCACATGTGCATGATTTATAAATATATATAGGTTCGAGAAAATAGTACTAACAGGTTGTTCCCTGACAGCATGGCATATTTCTTAACTTTGCTTTTATACTGTAGACTTGAATACAAGAACTATGTCAAATTTATCTTTGCATCTCCTAAAATTCCCCACATGGTGCTTGATTTCATAGTAGAAAAACAGTAAATAGTTCTTGAATATTTCACAAAAAAAGGGTCAAGTGCAAATGTAGCATTTCATAGCAGGATAGGTTATTTATTTGTGTATTCAAGTAAAGACCTGAATACATAAGTTTAAGTGGTGCCCTTAAGTCTGTGAAGCCCAAGACTTGTTCTTATAGATTTTAATTGCTTTAAGTGAAAAATCGAGTGAACACAGAGAAAATGCTGTGATTGGCAGCCATTGGTGACATCGATGTTGAGCATTTTGATGGAGGTGATCTAAATCAGTACCAGCTCCAGCTTCTATTAGCAAAGGCTTTCAAGGTGGAATTGGGGTGAACTAACCTGGCAGTACCCCACCCATCTTTTGGCCTTGGCCATCTGAGTTGTTGAGACATCTTTGGTTGTGGTCTTCTGCCAGGGCATCGAGTCCCCGTCCTGAGAACTGCAGAGAACCCAGTGGCACTTAACGTATGTCTTGTCCTGACTGTCTTACTGGCCAGGGCAGGGCTCAGGGCAAGTCGGTTTCCCACCCATAAGATGAGAAAGCATTTTGGATGAAAAATATTGCTTTGGATTCTCCTGGGAGACAGTATGGTACACTGGAAAGAAAACCATATCAGGAGTCCCAGGGGTGTATCTGGATTCTAGGCCCTGCTCCGCTTCCAACTTCCAACTTAAAGCCTTGAGATTCACTTCTCCTCTCTGAGCCTCAGTTTCTCATCTGTAAAATGAGGTTGGACTGGATGGTTTCTAAGGGCCTTTTGGCTCTAAGATACTGTGTTTGAAACGGGCTGTTGGTGTGGAGATATTAAAGGGCTGGAGTGAAGGCCTTCTCAAATCCTGTTTTCTCCTTGTCATTTATGAACCAGAAAATGACAGATGGCGAGACCTGGACAGGAAATGCCCTCTTCAGATTGACCAACCGAGCACCAGCATCTGGGAATGCCTGCCTGAAAAGGACAACTCACTATGGCACCGGGAGGCAGTGACCGCCTGTGCTGTGACCAGTCTAATCAAAGACCTCAGCATCAGCGACCACAACGGGAACCCCTCAGCACCCCCTAGCAAGCGTCAGTGCCGCTCACTGTCCTTCTCCGATGAGATGTCCAGCTGCCGGACATCATGGAGGCCCCTGGGCTCCAAAGTCTGGACTCCTGTGGAAAAGAGACGCTGCTACAGTGGAGGCAGCGTCCAGCGCTATTCCAACGGCTTCAGCACCATGCAGAGGAGCTCCAGCTTCAGCCTCCCTTCCCGGGCCAACGTGCTGTCCTCACCCTGCGACCAGGCAGGACTCCACCATCGATTTGGAGGGCAGCCCTGCCAAGGGGTGCCAGGCTCAGCCCCATGTGGACAGGCAGGTGACACCTGGAACCCTGACCCGCACCCCATGGGAGGGGGCCGGCTGGACCTGCAACGGTCCCTCTCTTGCTCACATGAGCAGTTTTCCTTTGTGGAATACTGTCCTCCCTCAGCCAACAGCACACCTGCCTCCACGCCAGAGCTGGCAAGACGCTCCAGCGGCCTTTCCCGCAGCCGCTCCCAGCCGTGTGTCCTTAACGATAAGAAGGTCGGTGTTAAAAGGCGGCGCCCTGAAGAAGTGCAAGAGCAGAGGCCTTCTCTAGACCTTGCCAAGATGGCACAGGTAAGAGCCCCAGCATCCTGGAGTCACCTTGGTGCTCACTGGAGCCTCTGCTGGGTCTGGGCCGTCCTAGACAAGCATAGAACACCAGTTTCAGAAATACCCAGGAGTGGGTTAGTTTCCTTGTTTTTAAAAATCCTTTTCAAAGAAAGATTATTTCCAGTTGGTTTTTTAAAAGCGTTCATTTCTTTCTATTTACAACCAAATATTCCCTTTCACTGTGAGTGCAGTGCTAGGGGTACAAGGGCAGGTGGATGGGGAGAGGTGGGCTGTTGGCGGGCAGACTCACTGGACCAAACACTGGTGTTCCCCTCCGGCCCTTCACTGAAGCCATCTCTCCCAGGAAGCCGCCCCTGCAGCTGCTGCAAGAAACGTTTACACACACTGGGATTCAGTGTCCCTTGGATTTTGCTGGTCCTGAGATCAGGGGTGTGGGTAATGGTTTCCGAGAGCTAGTGATTGTGGAGAGCTTATTCCTTTGATTAAACTGTTGAAATGTGAGGCCCTCAAGATGCTGTGACCAACATTCTCTGAGCTGCCTCTGCAGTCATCCTTGCCCTTTGCTGTAGAAGTATCTGGCCACACGCCCCTGTCACTTGGACTTTATCCTCTTTGTCTTGGAGCTCTGCCTTGTGCTAACACTGATCTTGGATATTGATTTGAATGAGATGAACTTGGAGTTCATACTCTGTCATCAGGAGCGTCTCTGAGCCTGAGAGTTGGCTGCATCTGGTTCTGGCTGGGGATGAGGAAGTGGTGCTGGCCCTTGTGACCTCTGACTCAAGGATGGGTGGATGTGATGGGCCACAACACTATTGGCTCTGTGTTCATCTAGGAGCTGTCAGTTGCTTAATGCCGCAGTCTGACCATCATCTTTTCTGGACTTATTTATGTAAACATTGGTCTCACTGGGTTTCAAGGGGTGAAGATCTTCTTGTTGGTGAGGATGGTTTCAGAGGGGTTGGCCTTGGTCACTCAGCACTATGGCCACATCCAGGGCAGGCGGGCTCATCATGCTCACTGTGTTTTGGGCGGGCATCACTGACTTCCTTCCAAGCCCAATGTTGTTTTCTCAATTGGATCTTCTTTCCTTTTACAAAGAATGTGCAGTTTCTCTTCATGGGGTTTTGTTCTTCTCTCCTTTAGTTCCTACTCCCAACATAGAGGTCTACCCAGAAAAGAAGAGGTACAGGTGTCTGAAGTCTAAAGCATATCTGGCCCCAGAGTCCAGACTTTCTGGCTACCTTTGTTCAAGAGCCTGGGCACTGGCTGGGGCAGTGGGAGGGCAAGATGGTGGTGTGCTCGTTCCTCCCCGGTGTCAGTGGGATCCGCCTGGGGGAGAGCCTGAAGGGGTGTGGGTCAGCGCTCCTGCGCCTCCTCAGCTAGTTTCCACTTCTTCCATCGTGGCTCCAGGCATGTGCCGTTCTTTTTGCAGTGTAGTGGAACGTTCTTGACTTTACTAGCTGGACAGGGATTGAACGCATTTATTGGACACCAAGAGGAATTTCCCTTCTCCAGAAAAATGTAAATAGGTAAAAAGTCTGGAAAGGTGACAGATTTGGGTGACTTCTGAGGAAAACCCAGAGCCCAGAGTTCTGGGTATGATAATGCTTCAGTTACATTTTTAATGCTGAGCATATTTTATTACCTAATGAGTAGATAGATAATAAAAACAACATACATGTTATTATATGTTACTAGCCACAGCTGGAATAACACCACTGGCATCATTGGAGACATTTCTTGACCTCGTTTGGTTAGATACTATTTAAAAATACAATGCTCAGTGGGGCTGCGCCCAGTTGTATAGATGGCTTCATTGGCCCCAGGCAGGCCTCCCAGATCTGGGAAGGTGCGTGGAACCTGAGGAGGCTGCTCTGGCTCAGCCTGTCTGTCCTTGGCCGCCTTCTTGGCAGCGGGTCTTGAACACAGGGAAAGTAGAGAGGGGCCTCTGGAAAGTGTGTGTGCCCAAGGCCTATGGCCAGAGCCCTGAGGCTGGGCCCGTGAACGCTGAGCCATGCCCCCACCAAGAGTCTAGACCCTAGTCAGCCCTCTTTTCATGGGGCTCGGCCTGCTTTGGCTCCATCATCAGTTGATTTCTAGCCTGGGGAGGTGGGCCTTGCTTTTCTGTGGGGCCCTGAGAACGAAGCCTAGGGCATCCACACTATGTATTTATCAAGAGCCCTGGACAGTGCAGGGCCTCGTGCATGGTAACCTGATGAGCTGGGCATGTTGCTGGTGTACAAGGACTAACATGTTGCTAGATGGCCACTGAGGTTAGACCACTAGCCACAGACCCCAGTTTCTACATGCTGTGGCTTCACTCAACATTTGGGACCACTGAGAAGGGGCTGGGGTCTGCTCTGCATGCCCATGGAGGCAAGACTTGGAGTTGGGCTTTCCATATCTTTGGAAGGGTAGGCTTGTACCCAGGTGTGGCCCACGCTTCCTTCCGCTGGGCTCTGGCTTCTCTTTCGTGGGCCTTTTGATCTTGGTTTACACATTGCCTTTGGGGGTGAGAGCTCCACTTGTGCATTCTTGTAAAGGCGCCCTTCGTATGTGGGTTCTGAGGCCAGGTGTGTGTGAGTCTGCAGAAGGCCTTTTCAGTTAGACCTTTGGAGCAGCTGGCCATTCTGAAGAGCCCCAGCTCCCCTAGAGGCCCCGACTGGGGCCCAGAGCAGATCTTGAGGGTGTGCGTGAGTACCTGGGGTCTTCCCTCTGGCCATGATTCGGTATGGCCAGGTGGACTGTGGTAGTTGGAGCCCCTCCAGCCTGCCCGCAGGAAAGGGTCCAGGGAGAGAACCCAAGAGAGTAAGAGGGCAGGAAGCTCCGAGGTCCAAGGCCCTGTCCTCATCTGTATCCACAGTTGAGTTCAGCAGGAGCAAGTGTCCTGGGGTGTAGACTCTGTGCTAGAAGCAGAGGATGTCAGGAGATGTGACCTCAGAGCTTGTCCATTCCAGTCCCTCTTGAGGAAACTGAAGCTCTCTTGGTCCCTATGCTTGCCAGGGCTCTTTTGGGCATGGTGTTCACTTTTGGATCTGCATTTGGAAGGCGACATTGACACACTAGAAGGCCTCCAGAGGTAGGGCCAGAGACTGGAAGCCCTAGGCAAATTGCTTGACATGTCTGTGCAGCAAATGCCACCACTGCCACAGGACTGTGGGAGGAGCAAGAGAAACAACGTATGTGGATAATGCACTATCCATATGGGTGTGTGTTTATATATGTGTGTGTGTCCACATCTGTTGATATGTGTGTGTGTGTGTGTCTGTGTCTATATGTACACACACCCCCCCCCACCCAGTGCTTTGGCTGGCACAGGCTGGGTGCTGACAGATACTCATGATCATCGTCACAGTAACGGGACTTGGAGGGAAGGTGTGGGCTGCTTCTGGGTGCCTCCAGAGGCAGAGGTAGGAGCAGAGGGTGGACGTTCCTGGGAGGTGCCCTCAGTCTGCTATGAGAATGCCTATTTTTCGGGAGGCTGAGGTGGGCGGATCACAAGGTCAGGAGATCGAGACCATCCCATCCCGGCTCACACAGTGAAACCCCGTCTCTACTAAAAATACAAAAAACTAGCCGGGCGTGGTGGCGGGCGCCTGTAGTCCCAGCTACTCGGGAGGCTGAGGCAGGAGAATGGCGTGAACCCGGGAGGCAGAGCTTGCAGTGAACTGAGATCGCGCCACCGCACTCCAGCCTGGGTGACAGAGCGAGACTCCGTCTCAAAAAAAAAGAATGCCTATGCCTATTTTTCTTTGTTTGTCCACCGTTTTCCCTGTGTTTCCATTCTCCCTTTTCTGTTCATGCCACTTTCTGTGTCTTGTTTGTTCGTCTTCTTGCCTCATCGCTTTTCTTTTGTAAATGGGAAGGAGGCCTGCCCTGCAGCTCAGCTCAGCCTGCAGTCAACTCTGTGTTCAGAGCCCAGGGTTATGAAATGGTGACAGAATTGGATTCGCCCCCCCTCTTGCCAGAGGAAGTTGGCCGTGTGTGAGCATTCTCCTATCTGTCTCCCTTGAAACGAGGGTGGAAATATCCCGGGAGCGCGCTGGCCACCCTACCCCTTCCGAGCCGCATCCCTGGGGGACAGCTGTCCCAGTTAACTCTTGTCTGTTGGGGATGAGACACACAGGGTGGGGTGTCGACATTGCTTTCAGATTGTCTTTGCTCATGTCTTCTTAAAACCCCAATGCCAAGAGAGCAGGCAGAGATGCTGAATGAGGCTGCAGGTGAGGTGGCCATCTGGATCCTGAGTCGGGGAGACTGACTGTAGTGAGGAAAGCGCTAATGGGGGAAATGACGCAGGGACCTAGTCCCGCAGTGGCTGCCCTCCCTGTACTTGTAATTACAACCACTTGGTTCCACAGAGCAAGTTGCCCAAAGGCAGCTCAGAGAACTGGCTGTGCTGCTATCCCTGCGCAAGCCTGGCCCCGTGGGCCTCCTGCACAGCTCTCCTCCTCACATGGTGTTTTTGGCCCTCCTGGTTGGTGTTCTCTGTGAGGCTGCAGCCTTCCTTTTGCAGAATGACAATGTGTGCCATTGAGGGCAGGGCCCAGCCTGAGGGTGTGACTCGTTTATTAGCGGGACTTTTGCTGACATTTTCCTTACTGCTTTTTTGAGACCTGGTTTGACCACCCAGCATTGGTTGGCTCCCAGCAAGACTTGAGCTATATGAGGCCATTTAGACATAGATCACATATGTGTGAGCAAAGATTTCAGAAAAAGGCAACAATTAAAAAGATCACCCATTGAATGCAGTCTCCCTGGGTGTCATAGTCCCTGCTGTATTTTTAACTCCAAGCTGGTCATCTTGAAAGAGCAACAACAGAAGCAAGATGTTTGTGGGGAGGGGTCAGGATGCCGAAACAGAGGTTTGATTGATTGCAGCTGCCCACACACTGAGTCCCCAAACCTCCCTGAGCAGGCCTCAGAACAGGCAGCAACTGTTGTGTTAGCAGATGTTTGAGAGACCGTGAAAGCTGGCCAGGGGCAGTTTGGGGTAGAAA